ATCAACAAGATCAAACTCTGATAAGGGAAATGAACTTGGGAAACTACCTGCTCAGCTTGGAAACTGATGATTTACACTAGTGCAAATGTAATCCAATTTTGGCCCATGTGTGGGAGAAATATTGTAACAAACCCTTCGTGCTCCTATAGCTTTATGTGAGTGGAAGATCAGACCAATTAGACTTCTATTACCTATTCCAATCAATGAACATAACCCAAAATAGAGGCCTATCGGGCCTACCAAAATTGGACTAAATTTCACCTTAACAAAAGAGGTTTTTTTTAATCTTTCCACAACTGCACTGAACCCACTACCCCTACTTCCTCCCATACCAGCTGTAAAACCATATTTTAAAAAAATATATATTCCTACAAAATATAATAGAATAAACATTACCAGAATTAAAAAAAAACATACCAGAAAGACAGGGTGTAATCATTAGGGAAAGTTTCACTTTCTCTCACTAGAAATGTTCCATCCTTGCCACCCATTTCAGCACAATATTCCTGGAGCAGCTTCTCAGCAGTTGTTCTCCCCTCTTTCATTTTCCCATGGAACCATTTCTCACTGCAGTGCAGCTCAGTACGTTTCACCTCCTAGATCCCAAGAGACAAATTTCCACTTTTAACTTGTATTTTACCATGACACTGTATATAGTTCTGTCTTGGTTAAAAAGGCTTCTATAATGGTAGTTCAACTTTCTAGCTTCCTTGAACTTTCAATACCCTCAAAAAAGGAATGTTTGTCTAAAATCTGGAGTTTGATTTACTGTCAAATTAAAGATAACTTTAATTAGGAAATGAAAACGTGAACTTATATCAATCTTTGTAGACAATTTTCTTCACCAATATATGTCCCTATGTGATACAATGGGAAAAAGACCTGGATAGATAAATTTTCCCAAAAGAATGAGGTCTGATCTGGAAAATAAGATGAGCAATCTCATTGGACCAGCAACCAATAAAAGAAAAAAAATTAAGATACTGTTCCAATGGTATCTCACACCATTAATATATTAACTATGTTAATATATGTTGAACAGGAAAACACGGTGGAGAAGTTATGATAAAGAAGGTACTTTTAGGCATATTTGGTGGATACCTCCAGTCACTATAGAGTATCAGGATGCAATTCATAACCAGATATCACAAACTGTTGGACACTTATTCCAAAATGATCCTTAGGTAATTCTCATGGGGCTTTCTAATGGTCACACAAAAGGAAATAAAGAATTAACCTTTCATTTGTTAGTAACTGTATGGCTATTGGTAATCTCTCACTAGGAAAAGAAAGATAATCCACCCATAGACGTAGGCAGTTGGCTGGCATGCCTGGTCTGTTAAATATGCATAATCGGATATTTCACTTCATTTAATAACATCACCTCATTCTGTAATACGATAACACCCTGCCAGAGAGACCTGGTGACTCTATTCCTATGAAATGCCTGTTTAAACAAAAGTTCACTGTTGAAATGATTATTGTTTTTTTACTGATATTTACATAGCAAGGATTTATAAACCTGTTAATGCTTCCTAAATAAATAAATAGTAAAAAGGGGGAAAAGGTGTGTTGTGTTATGTATCATTACTTAATGAATCATCTTTTGTTTGGTCTTAGAATAGAAATAATATCCTGGCAGAGGGATATACTCACTATAAAACATCTGATTGTTGTTAAACACACCTGTTTAAGCACTTCCCTGCCCACAAGCCATTTCATTATGATGTACACTCGGCTACCCTGAACATTAACCAGGCACTAAAGGTACTTTGTTTTACTGAAAACGGGATTATCAAAGTGCTTATTAAAGACTCAAATTTTCATTAAGTGATATTTGCAAGTGCATCCAATTACCTGGCCCAGACCCTCCACTGAAAGGAGTGCAAACAAATGCATCTGCAAACATAGTAGCAGAAGTTTAAGAGGATGAATTTGACTTTAAACTTTAAAAAGCTCAATATAAAACTCACCTCCCTTCAGTTTTCTATTAAAGGGAGAAAAGAATCTTTTATTATTCTCTTGATGTGAGCACATAATTCCCATTGGTGAAGAGAGACTGTATTAAAAAAAAGTATTCAAACTTGACAGGAGTTATATTTAATACATTTTTAAAATATGAAGTGAGTAATCCCACAACATTCTGCAGTTCAGTTCCCTTTAAACTTATTCAATGTAAACAAAAAAGAACTTCAGTACACCTCTTCTTTTTATTCAGAAACCCAGGCTATGTCTACACCCAGGCTACGTCTATACTACTGTAAAAGCTATGCTGTGTCCAAAGAATGCGTCCGCTTTTTTGGAACAGTTTCCAAAAAAGCAGATGCATTCTTTCAGCATCCCTGTACTCCTCATTGTACGAGGAAGAAGAGATGTTCTGAAAGAGGAGGTTTTTCCAAAATTTGGCCCCGGGTAGACAGGCCAGATTTTGAAAAAGCCTCTTCCAAAAAAATAAAAAAAAGCGGAAAAAGATACACAAATTGCAGTTGGCAATTTGCATATCTTTTTCAGACTTTTCTTTGCGGTCTAGATTTAGCCCCACTGTGGTAGAATTCTCATTTGGCTTAAAGCAGTAGAGAGGAAGATGGAAAATATTCATTTCTAGACGCGTGGGATAACAAACTAGATGAATTCAATTTCTCCAGCCTGGTTATGACACTAAAATACATTTAGCTAGAATTTTTTACTAAGGTGTTGCCATATCAGGAGAAAACTTAATGAACAACAAAAAGCCCAGCAATCACCTTTAATGAATCATCATCAGCGTTCTGTTCTATATCATCACCGAATGAGAGCTTTTCATCTGCTATAGCACAATAGTGCCGAGTCCATTTCTAGAATGTAAGACAAGCGTTAGAACAGTTAACAAGACAAGAAGACAATTCTAGCCATAAAATTAAAAAGATTAAAAATAAAACCTACCAACCAACAGCAATATTTTTTAATAATAAACAGTAATTTAACAATGTAACACCTTCACAGTGTCTCTTTTCCATACTCACCCCAGGTCAGGTAGGAGCAAATATTTTTCCTTATTGCTGTTGAGAATGCTCATTTAAATCTCAGACACCAAAGAACTTAGAACACCTAGTAACAAACTGCAGCAAAAATCTAGGAAGACATACCTGTTCTATCGCGTCCCACATATAGAGTTCTCCTTGTTGCTTTTTCTCTTCTTTCTTTTCTTCTGGGTTCACATCTATGTCTCCCTTTGGTCCCAGTTTTTTATGCTAAAAATATAAATAAAAATAATATGTAAGCCTGGTCACATCACCTTGGCACATCTGAAGCATCCCTTCTGTCTGGGCTTTAAGAGTGAAGGCTACAAGTGGGTTTAAACATTAGGGCTACGTCTACACTGGCACCCTTTTCCGGAAATGCTTAAAATGGAACAGTTTTCTGTTATAAGTATTTCCGGAAAAAGAGCGTCTACATTGGCAGGATGCTTTTCCGGAAAAGCACTTTTTCCAGAAAAGCGTCCATGCCAATGTAGACGCGCTTTTCCGCAAAAAAGCCCCGATCGTCATTTTTGCGATCAGGGCTTTTTTGTGGAAAAGAAATCTGTGCTGTCTACACTGGCCCTTTTCCGGAACAGTTTTCCGGAAAAGGACTTTTGCCCGAACGGGAGCAGCATAGTTTTTCTGGAAAAGCACTGATGATTTTACAGTAGATCGTCAGTGCTTTTCCGGAAATTCAAGGGGCCAGTGTAGACAGCTGGCAAGTTATTCCGGAAAAGCGGCTGATTTTCCGGAATAAGTGGCCAGTGTAGACACAGCCTAGGGGCAGTTTTTTTCAGTGACTGCAAATTTAACCTGGGAGTTTGTCTCCATGCAGCAAGCCACGGTGTGAACCAACAGGGCAGCAGTCAATTCACACACTGGAATGCAATGAGAACCACACACTAGGACTTGCACTACGCTGAAGCAATGACCACACCGGGCCATTACTGTGGAGCATACTGATGTTGCTGGAGAGTCATGCCCTGGCAGGAGCTTGTCATATAGACAAGCAAGGCCACCAGGATTCGCAAGACAAAAAAAGCCGCATTGCCTTTTTACAGCAAGCCTAATTCAAGCCAATCCCATTTGCTGGCAGCTGCCTTGGCAAGGCTATAGACAAGCCAAGTGCTCCTCTAATTTCTTTAGAGCAAGCACCAAATAAGGGGATGGAGGAGCAATTATTCTGATAAAAACATACACTTGATTAGAGGAGACAGAATGTTAAAAGACCTTTATGTGGCAAGGAAGGAATGAAGATAAATGAGCAGCAGTTGCTAGGCCTCAAGGGGAAGAGAAAAAGAATATGCATAAAGGGAGGGAAATTAAGGAGAGAAGAGGAAAGGGATAAGAAGGAAACTGAGGTGATTATTTCAAATCAGTGGAAACAAATCCTGCTTGCTTCTCCACATAGGGATATAAAACCCTACCCTTAGCACCACTACAAGTCTAGTGTGCCAAGGGGTAAAAGTTTATGTGCATGTCACAGAGATGTGCTTCAGGACAGATCTCTCTTCAGCCGGAGGGCCCACAGGTCCGGTGTGGGCACTTTAAGGGCTTAACCAGCACGTCTGTAACTACAAAATCCCATCTAATGGGAGAAAAGATGCTCACAGATGGAGGAGGAAGAAGATTCTTGTTTCACAAATATATATATGAAGTTTTGTATGTTGTTCAGCGGGCCAAGTTTTGGCGGATGAAAGGTGCATACAAAGCATATGCCAGCAGCCTGGAGAAGAGGGTTTTCAGCTCATGTGTAACTCTTACGGATGTGAAAGTGTAAATGTGTACACAATTAACCAATGAGCCTGGGCAGAAGCACAGGGGGACAGACAAGAGCTGGTATATGTGGGGAGTCATCTTTAAGCCAGATCGCTGCGTGTACCGGTTCCCACGGAGCCACCCGTCCGCAGACCCCAGGCTGCTGCCACTGATACAGAGGCAGCAGCATGGGAGGGAGGGACAGGCAGCTCCATAGGAGCCGTCTCCTCCCATCCCCGCCACCACCACCACATGTTACACATTTACCTAAATAAACTCATTTTAATATCCCTAATAACTTGTTCAACAAAGTCTTCAGCTACAATGAAAAAAGAGGCAGCAAAAGATTTAGAACATCCCAGAGTGACATGGAGATATATAATAAAAGGCTAAAACAAGACTGTACAATGAGAAAACAAAGTGAAGATCTAACCAATAGCTGATACTCCAGAGAAGTTTAAACAAATGAAATGGCAACAGGTGAGATATTTTGTGATAGTAGTTTAAGAAAGAGGAACCAGAAACGGCATATGATGCACAGCAAAGCAAACAGGAAGGGTTCTAATAAGAGCTGGGCAAAAATTTTTGATCGTTTTCTCAGCAAAAAATGTAGATTTGACGACACTGAAATGTTTCACATAACTTTGCCAAATTGTATTGGATGGAAAAAAAATTTGAAAAAATAAAAAAATGTTTCATTTTGACATTTTTTTTAGCAACAAAACTTTTCACTTTTCTGGTTCAAAATTACTTAATTTCAAAATGTCCTTTAATTTAATTTTTTAAAATAAACATAACTTAATGGTTGAAATCAAAATGAAACACTTCAATTTTGTTGAAATGAAATGTTTAAATTGATCCAAAATATTTTTTTTTCAACTTTTCGATTTGCTGAAAGTTTCTAAAAAATTGTTTTTTGGTTCAATTTACCTTTTTAAAAAAAAAACAAAAAAAAACAAAAAACCCTAAGAACTGCCAGTGATCTGGAAACTCTATTTATTGCCCCGCTCTACTTCTACAATAATTTTCTCCTTTCACAGCAATGCCTTTGATTTTTGCAATTACATTCTGACACATATTTATTATTTAAAATACATTAACTGTGTCTGCATGAAATCTACTTGCTTTCAAATATCCTAGTATCCAGTCTGAACGAAAGGCACCAATAAGCTAAGAGGAAGTCTCCAGGCTTGTCTACACAGCATGTTAGTTTGCCCTGGAGAGGTTAAATTAGTGCACAGTAGCATGTTGTACACTAACCATCCCGTGTGAATCCAGCTGGCACACACATTCATGTAGTACTGTTTGAAAAGGAACTACCGTAAAATCGCGAGTATAATGCGCACCTATGTATAATGCTCACCCTGACTTTAGAATCTTAGCATAATTAAAAAAAACTGAACTACTATGTACAATGCGCACCCCATTGTACAGGAGAACGGGAGGTAACCTGTTTCTGAAATCCAGAATGTCTTGGTCTCTACTAAACTGGAACACAACATTTGATTATCCTTAACCAGACCTGGAGCTACAGGGAAATGCGTACGCAGCCCGGGGAGCCGACGGCGGAGTTTGAAACCTGCCCCCCCGCTCTCCCAGACAGCTGCCTGGGTGCTATGGGCAGCAACATGGCCTGCCCCGCTGTGCCAGGAGCTGACCCACCAGCACCAAGCCCAGCCTCGCCCGTAGGAGAGCGGGAGGAAGGGACGTGCCGCTCCTACCTGCAGGCTCGCCTGGGAAAAGCGCGCGCAGCAGACAGCTGCTCGCGCACCGTGCCGAGCTCGCACCTGCCATGGGGACCCCCGGTGGCCCCCCAGGAGTAGCCTGAAGGAGCACTGGGCAGATAGCGAGCCAGGGCGCTGCAGCCTGGCGACGCCACCAGCTCCTCGCCTTGTCCGGGAGCCTGGCGGGGTGGCGGCCCCCGCGCTGCGGCGGGAAAGTTTCTGTGTGGAGGGGAAGGGGAGTTTAAAACTTTAACAATTCGCTCCTATGTATAATGCGCACTCCGGCTTTGAGCCTAAAAAAAAACGGGAGAAAAAGTGTGCATTATACTCACGATTTTACAGTACATTAACATGCACTGGGAGTATTTAACGCACGTCAGCCTGGTCCACATGGGCCAGTTAATGCGAGGCACACTTGTATACACTGGAATTCACATGCAGACTATTCCTCAGTCATGGGCCATGCTTCTCACCTACACATCCAACAGTAACAGCTCAAATGGTAAATCAGTATACTCTATTTCAATACCTAAATCCAAGGTAAAAACAGGTTCTAATCCTTAGAACACTTTTCTTGTGCAGGAGTCACTGTAATTTGTAAACTTTGGAGTCTGGAGGGACAATGGTGCTAGAGATGTATAGATTTTTACTACATGCTTGCAGTTCCTCTTCTTTGCTTCATATGGTCACAAAGTGTAAGAATTCATAGATTAAGATCTAAGCTTACAGGTCAGAATGCTCTATTTTGTGCTCCTCTATAACTCACAGTGGAACGCCCTGCTGCCATTTTCTGTACTGCATTAAAGAAGGGAACATTTCCATGTTCTTGTACTGCATGTGTCTTTTAAGTTTAGACTCTGGGTTATTGTTTTCTAATAGGAGCTTTAAGGCTGAAGCCTTGATCAACCAGAGCTGTCATCATTATTTTCTTCTATTTAAAAATATGGTGAGTCTGCCTCAGTGTTCTTGCCAAATTTCAGCTTTCTACTACTCTGAAAACTCCACTGCAGTTTTAACTTCACTTACCTACCTACAGACTGATGTGTGGTACTGTTGGATCAAAATGGGTGGGTTGAGTGATTGTAAGAGTAACTGAATCCTATCTGAAGCTTCAGGAGGTAGCCGAGTTAGTCCGTTACAGAAAAAAAAATGGTCTAGTAGCACTTTATAGACTAACAAAACATGTAGATGGTATCATGCTGCCCTCCGCCCTCCCCTTTCCTATTTATTTCCGGTGTTCACATCCCAAACTCATAACTCTGGTCATCTGAAGAAGTGGGCTGTGCCCACGAACGCTCATGATACCATCTACACGTTTTGTTGGTCTATAAAGTACTACCAGACTATTTGTTGTTTTGAATCCTGTCAATAAGGGAAACCTCTATTTTTTCAAAGCTGCTACCTAAATTGCGAATGTAAATCACATCTTTACTCTTTTTGTGTTAGTAAGTGTTCATTTGCTTTTGCAACTTATAGTTAAGTGTCATCTGCTGAAACCTCAGTCTGTAAAGTGCTTTGGGAGCCATTAGAATGAAAGGAGTTATATAAATACCAATTATTAATAAAATTAATGTGATTTTCCATTCCAGAGCACACCTTTAACATTTTTAAGCAGAGTGTTATTTTGCAAAAGGTCTATGATGAGCATCTGTAGCAGAAAACTTCTCTGAAATTTAATAGTGACATTTTAGAGGCAGAAAGGTTTTCTGGGAGACCTTTAGAAAAAGACATTTCTTTGGCACTTGATTGAGCAACATTAATTGCAAAGAAATCCAATAGCAATTATTTTAGTACGCATTTAAACAAAACTCAATAAAATGTTGTCAAATGATAGTCGTATGCACTTGCAGCATGTACCCTCTTCAATCCCAAAGGAGCCCCAAATGCTTTACAATTACACCCATAATATGCAAGTAATCAGAGACATGACTCTGTTAAAGGATTCATCCAAGACCATACAGCGACTAAGCAGCTGAGCCAGGAACAGAACCCAGGAGTCCTGGCTCCCACTGTCCAGTTCTAAGGACCAGAACACCCTAGGAACTCATAGTAGATGAAACATGCCTTAATGATGAACTTTTCTTTCAGCTGGGTTGGTGATGGCAGCTGATCTGCACTGACTTCAATGGGCTTCATTAGGAGTTGGTTCCCAAACACCTCCTTGAATACTTTGGCCATGTGGCGCTGCTGTTCCACGCTGCAGTGCTCTTCAATTGACAGGATCACTGGGAACCTAGGGTGAAGGGGACAGAAAGGTGACGGCAGCATTCAATGCCTGCTTCTGAAAATGCTGGGGAAGGAGAGGGGAAATATCCAAACAAAGGAAACCGAGGCAGCTCTGGGTCAAGTCTATGGATGTGAAATCACTTACATGCACTGTACATAGTTATCTGAATGTCTAATCATTACGAGGATACCCATGCAGCTCAGCATGCTAAATGCAACAAAGAGTCTTGGAACACCCTGAATATAATGTCTTTTTTGCTTATTCAAGCTCCCAAAACCCCATCCATGAAGTGCTTCCAACCAAAATAACAACAACTCTGTGCCAGATTGTGGTCTCTCATGTATATGGCAACAACCCCAGTGGGGCCCTTTAGGAGACATGTCATCTCCTATGTCTCTCAGCCAATCCCATCCCCAAAGGGGTGCAATATGTTCTCCCCTCCAGGACTAGCCAGTTACCTTGCACAGTGTGAAGTAAAGGAGCCTACAGCCCCATCTCCTTCCTATCTCTTCCCTGCCATCAGTTAACACTTTCCCTATTACAGGGTGTTTCATCGCAGGGCCTGAAGCAGTGCTGAGGCATCACCGGGGGGATTTAAAAATCACATTTATTAAAGTTTTACAGCTGCAAACTAAGGCTTCAACCAGAGAGATGGGGAGCCCCATGGGGCATTTTCTACCTGCCCCAGCAGCACCCTGACATTTTGTGGGCCTTTTCTTGAAAATTATTGATTTAGAGCTAAAAGTCCTAAAGATTTACAAAAAACCCACTAGCAAAAAGACAAGCATCTTGGCCCTTTCAATTAATCAAACCTGAAAGGTTCCTTTTCTCCTTAGGAAAGTGCTAAAATTCTCTAAACCAGGTTTATAAATTAACAAAAACCCACTCAGATGTGACAAATGCGTGATCCTTGATTGCCTGCACCACGTCGTCGAATTTGATTTTTGTTGTCCGTGTCCATCCATGATAAATGATTGGCTTCCCATCAGGTCCATCCCAGCAATCCACTAGAACGGATAAGGGAAGAAATAAAAGGCCTCCTAAATAACTCCAGTATACAGCACACATCACTCATTCCACAAGCCACTGTATTTCATACAATGAGTCATATACTTTTATGTTATATTAAGATGATTTGCTAGGTAGATTTATACCCTTCACAGAAGAGATTAAGTTTGCATAAAGTAATGGTGATAAAAAATACAAAATAGGGGGTCTAAAAGCGCATGCAGCTAAGAACCGAGAAGTAGGAGTTTAGGCAGCTGAATTTTGGATTTACTAGTTTCCACCAGAGTTCAAAGTGGTAAATATGCTGCTCCAAGAGAAATTTTGAAAGTCTATCCAGGTAAAACTTTTTGATCCCAGTCCTGAAGTCCTTACACAAGATAAAGTCTCAATTATCAGAGTAATCAACTGCAAACTGGGGGCTGCTGTAATTAGGGTTGAGAGGCAGTAGCAACAAATCCACAAGTCAGTGAGCCACTAAAAATGTAAGAGTGTAAACGTTTAAGCTGTTACTTAAACAGCTACACACAGCTCCCAGTCCGGCTCTTGAGAAGCCACCTGCCGCCCCACTGCTGTATAAGAGGCAGCAGTGCGGCGTGGCAGGTAGAGGCTGGTACGAGGAGGGAGCCAGCTTAAAAGCCAGCTCCTGGCACACACTTCATCTCAGGAAGCTGCCTGCCACCCCTCATATAACCATATAACTGCTGAAATTTTCAGCAGCTACATGGTTAGCCAATTACATGCTTTTTAACATCCCTATAGGCCACACTGCACTAGCAAAATATGAGGTTTTGGCCAAACCCTTCTGAAAGATGCACAAGAGCAGAACTAAAGAAGCTCTTTTCTTGCAGTACATGGAGAACACAGCATGGTTAAATGAACTTATATAAAAAGTTAATTGGGCCAATAGAAATTTTGTAAATGACACCAACATACAAAAATGTAGAGGGCTTTGTCTAAATTAAGAAAATATGTATCCATGCATTTAACTCAATTAACTGCAAGCCCCTATCATAGACTTACTGGAGAAGTACACAATGGGGCTTAACAATTAATTTGATAATTCTAGTAGCTTCATCTCTGGTGTACACTCTGAAATAGGTTTTAAAAGAGCTGCTTGAATATTAAGTGTTTCAAAGGAATAAAATAAGAGCAAATTAACAGTGAAATGATGGAATGCTGTAGAATGTTGGTTGTAGGAGTTAGCATTTCATTTACCAAATTGAGAGGAACAAAGTGTGTGTTAAAAAACAACAACAATCTTTGTTGTGGCTGTGCCTCGCAACCACAGGAAGCTCTGCAAAGTGGAGAACAAAAACATTCCTGTCACAAACCACTCCACAAGCTTGTTACTCACGCTCAATACATCGACATCCCATTCGAAGGCACCTAATATAAGCTTCTGTGGAAGATTCACTTCGAAGCTGGTCTCCTGTGAGGTATCTGAACAATAAAGAGAGACTGTTAGAAGGAAGGCCACAATTCCAAAAAGGGTCCTATATATTCTACTGCGGAGCTTCTGTGTGTTGAATCTTTTTCTATTGTGGAGGTTTTGAATACTGAATTTTTGACTCTCTATGAAGCGAGTGGAGCACTCTGAACAAGATGTAAAAGCACGCTGGCAGGGCTCAGTTAGAAAAAGATTTCAAGAGCAATGTTCACTCGTTGCCCCTGCCAGCTTTTTGTAGAGAAGAATGTATCTCTAACACATCTCCAAACTCCATCAAGTCGAGGCCAAGACTAACAGCCGCACCTGTCTTGTGAAAGGGAAAGGTCTCCAGAAACTCCACAAGCCATTTTTTCTCACTGTACATATTATATAAATTATTTGGGATATACTCTCCACTTTAAACAAAACTATGTTAGATGATAAACTTCCACATTCCTGTGAATGAACGTTCCAGTTTGTCATGTTGCTGTTACATCCAGAACCGTGTAAGTATGAAAATTAACCACCACATAGATTTGTATCTGGCCTAACTGTCTACATGCCACAGTTTATGGAGAACAAGTAGTGAGAGCCTTACTATGAGTCAGACAAAGCAGAAAAAAATCTGGTCAAAACTATAGAAATTGTGCTAATTGGCTGTTTGCTCCAACTCTCCCCTTCTCACCCTACCACTACTTCGCAGTCCCTTCACCTCAGTTTCACTCCACACCTCCTCCTCTTACCCTTTTTGCCAAACTCCCCTGACCTGTACCACTTCACCCCAGACTCCACTTTCCATCTAACTAACCCCCCCAAAAAACAGCCCAAAAAGTAATTGTGGAACTAACATGACATTTGCTGCTATCAAACTATTTGTGTTATCCCCCATCCCTTGCCCTGTGTGGGTCTTGTCTATTCAGATTATAAGCTGCCTGGGCCAGAGTCATCTAATACTCTGTTCAGAACACAATGTAGCCCCATTCTTGGTTAGTCTGAGGTATTACTGTATTAAACAAGATTCATAATAATAATGAAAGGTTTAACAAGAAGCCTGACCCCAGAATGATAACTGCCAACCAACTTGATAAGCACAGAAGTCTTTAAAAACTACATTTTGGTTGTGCAATAAATCTAGAACAATAAGGAAGATCCAAGTGAATGCTGCTACTTTTAATTCAGTTCCCAAGTGCCTTCTTATAAGAACATAAGAACATCCGTACTGGGTCAGACCAAAGGTCCTTCTAGCCCAGTATCCTGTCTGCCGACAGTGGCCAACACCAGGTGCCCCAGAGAGGGTGGACTGAAGACAATGATCAAGCGATTTGTATCCTGCCATCTCTCTCCAGCCTCTGACAAACAGAGGCCAAGGACACCATTTTATCCCCTGGCTAACAGCCTTTTATGGACCTAACCTCCATGAAATTATCTAGCTTCTCTTTAAACTCTTTATAGCAGCATATATTGTCTCTCCGACTGCTAGAATCCTGCTTGTCTCCCCTACAAAGGCCATGTAAGGCTAGCTCCCGAGTGGAAACGTGTTGCTCCAGGACCCACTAACCAAATGCTTCCTGTTCCCTGAACCACCCCTTCTGCAGTGTGAACTGTCACTGAGCTTTTCACAGATTTGCCACCCCCACCAGAAATCTGCTTTTCCCCACTGTCAATCAGCCCAACCACTGCAAGTTCCGTTACTTTCCAGGTCACACAAAGAAGGACAGCAGTTTCCCCAAGATGCCCCACCCACGTTAAAATTATAATACACATTACCTGGCTTTCAGAAGGTAGGGCACCCAGTTTCTATGCTATACATGCTTCTTTTGAAATGGTAGATAATACATGAGGTCAAAATACCTAAGCTCAGAATACTATTGGAACACTTCTCTAGATGTTTATAAGCACAGATGCATGCTCAACAGATTAAAATGCTGTAATTCAGATGATACTCAAGAATATCAGGATCTATCTTTGTGTACATCCTTCCACAGTGAAATGAAGTGGTAAATAATCATGTGCCATGGAGACTCTGATGGAGGACTTTGACTGAAGTTTGCAGCCCAGTGTCAGGCAAACATCCCACTACATGTGACCATCAGGATGTGACCCTTTAAGCACTAGAACACCCAGGCACAATGAGACTAACTGAACAGGGCTTTAGGTGCTGGGAGAAAGAGACTTTTTGATCAACATGAAATTTTGCACCCTGAGTTATTCAATCCCCTGCCTTCTGGCATCAAAAAGTTACAGGAAGCTCACTGTAGCAGCTTCTGTCCTACATTCTAACAACAAAGTATCTTGGTTTTTTGTTTGTTTGTTGTTTTGTTTTTTATGCAGAGGGAGAGAGAGACAGAAAGGGTGGCGGGTCTGCTATTATAACTCTGTGCTCCTCACAACATTCTAAAGCCTTTTTTAAAAGTCAGTGAGCCCTGTCTGATGCACTTTCTCAGAAAGCTTTCACTGACCCAGTTTGAGTACCCTTGACAACATGTAAACTGATACTTTCTTCTTGTAACGTACATCCAGTCTGTCTGATGAGATTTTTTTTAAAACTTACGTGTTGTGAGAGGAAGAAATCCAGTAGTGGGACAAAGGGTTATTCATATCCTGGGCATCTACTGCATCATATTTATCATCCCAAATACTGTTTTCTTTTGAGAAAAGGTAAGTGAGAAACTAAAATGTAAAAAAAGAGAATGAAATTAAATGCATGCAATAAGAAAAGAATATAACAACAGAGCTTAGAGGAACTTCCATCTTGCTAATAAAAAGGGTCCTGACCAGCAAATTAAATTTCAAGGAATTAGAAGAGAACGTTAAACATATATAGAGCTATAACAAATATTTTCTCTTACCTCATCCACAAAGAGGAAGGGCTCGGCAGTTTCTCTCATAGTGTCATCTATAAACTTTGTCATTCGTTCTCGGACTTTAGGGAGATCCAGTGCCCAAGCCTCCTTCAAATTAAGAAAAGTTTATTGTGTACGTTGTTTTATTGTATTACCAAAAAAGGTAGTAAGACTTTGTGAATGAAATTGTGTATTATATAAGAGACAGACATCCATAGCAGTAATTTACTACATTGCATTCTTAACTGGTGACAGTGAACTGACTTCATCTTTTGATGAACCCATCCAGTAAGTAAACTATCTATGGTTCAAGTTATTGCTGCATTTAAAAATCACAGTGTCCAAGATCACAAACCAATACTTACTTCAGCATACCGGAAGGTTTTACACACCACTCCAGTTGTTTGAATTCAGTAAAAAAATGTGTTTTTTACTGTAATTTAGGCTCATGCTTTTTCCCCCCAGAAGAGAGATTCAGGAATGTCTGTTGTTACATATTTATCCAGGACCTAGCACAATGGCTCTTGGTCAATGAGCAGGGCTCATTAGCATTACAAAATACAAATAATAAACGATAGTTTAAACATAAAAGATAATATCTCTCTCAGGTGAAGAAAAGCCGATGTGATGTTTTAGGGATCAAAGATGTCCTCTGTTTAAATGGTAGGCTGTCACAGGTGGGGACCTGATTTAAGAGTGAATCCTGGCCCTACTGAAGACTGAGAAGATCTAACTCTGGACTCTTTATGTTCTTTCAGCATCATTTTGTACAGCAGATCTCCAGATATTCCAAAGAATTACAATATGCACTGTCATAGAGCAGACAGTTTCAGAAATGAATTGCTTGGTTCCTTCAGCGAATTTTTTTTAAATTAATTCAGTACCTTATCAGTCAAACCAAGTCATGCTGTCTGAGAATCAGAATCTCAGCTGTTATAGACAAAGACAAGCCCCTCCCCAGAGCAATGAACCCATCTGCCTACAAATACAGGACACCTCTTCAAAAACAGCACACATCAGGAATGACAGTCTGACCCTCTTCACATCAATGGAAAAGCTCCCTTAGATTTCAATGGGTTTGGAACACGACCCCAAACATTAACATGGAGGGCCAGTTGTCATCCTTGACTTTATTAATTTTCAGCCACTAATCACCTCAGTGTATTTAGCAGCTTGGCAAAGACCAGAAAAATTCATTTGCACACACATTTTGTTCTTTTCGCAATGGAAAAACAGTAGCTGAGTGAAAGATCACACCTTAATCATGAAGATTAATGCTCAGATTTAGCTCACAAGGTTCAATGCTAGTTATCAGTCATCCTGTGTTTCAGATTGTGACTTTGAAAAATACAAAATGCTGTGAGGCTTGATGAGGAAGAATTCTGAGTTTCATAAGCGTCTCACCTGTTGCTCATGTAGCAGAAATCTCTGGAAGTCATGCAAATGAACGGCTGAAGCATCTGGGCGATCAGTATTTCTAGACCAGAAGAAAGAGGAAAATTTTTAGAAGAAACATTTTATTTTAAAAACAGATAGATAAAAAAATAATTTAAGACAGGGCCATAATAGGACCATGCTAGAGAATTTCAATCAACTAGATCGTGGATTTATAGCCTAATCCAAAATACAGTTGAAGGTGGTCTCTCCATTATCCCTAATGGGCTCGGGATCAGGCCCCACAAACAGCTGTCTAATGTCTGACTCAGCAGCCTTTGAATCAGAGCTTCCAGCTCCCTTCTGAGCTTCCATAATGACTCACTTTGTGACCCAGGCAAGTTACTGAAATGTGATTTGTCCTTTTCATATGTGTTCATTTTTTTAATTGTATCCTTTGGTATATATGGTTGTGACAATTTTCTTCCACTATTTGATCTGAGGAAGTGGGTCTGGCCCACGAAAACTCATCACCTAATAAACCATCTTGTTAGTCTTTAAAGTGCTACATAGTCCTGTTTTTTGTTTTAACCTCCTTCTGTTTATCCTTTTATGTGAAGACAACACTGACTTATCTCAGTGCAGTGACTTATCTCAGTGGGATGTTGTGCAGCTTAATTATGTCACTATAGAAATTTTATTATTATAAATTATTAGCATAACCATAATCACACAAGCCACGTCTTCTGGATATTTACCAGATGAGCTAACATGGAGAACCAAAACCTCATGCCAGCAGTCACAATGGGGCTAAAGAACTGGGCCCTATATTAAAGTCAGCCATTTCTAAATGAATTTCTCAAATGTTTTAACTAAAATTGTTGATGTAATATTTAAAGTTCTGATAAATTCAGTTCCAGAAAAGAATAATAGCAGCAATGCTCATCACTTTTATGCTCCAGCACCTCATTTCTTTAACATGCTGTGCAAATAGTTAATTTTCAACTCCCCTCAGTTAATATTATGCCCATTTTACAGACTGAGAAACTGAGATCCAATGATGCCACAGAATTTGACATTAGGATTCTTCCCTGCTTCTGTAAAGTCCCTGTACCACACACGTCTTCAGTTCAAAATTAAGCTTATCCATAAAAAGAAACAGAGACCACGTCTGTCCTTTGCTAGGCATGAGCAGCTCTGACTAAAATCTATCTGAGAGTAAAGTTTGACTCTCAACAGCTTCCTTATGCTATTTTTATTCTGTCCTTACTCAGGAAATCTTCCACTGAATTCAGAATTTTAGGAAGAGTGTCTTAATATGTGAGGTGTTAAAATTCATATAAAAAGAATATATGACAATTTTATTCGTCTTAACCAGTAGCATAGCAACAAGATATGACATCTGTCATCACTAATGAAAACACCTTAATAGAAAACAATGACATCACTTTAAATTATGAATTAACTTTTCCATTCCCTGAAATCTTTGAGTATGCAAAGTCCTACAATGTTATAAACAACACACATATGGACAAATTTATAGTAACAGAAAATCTCACCCGAGAATGAACACAGAAGAATCCTTTTTGAATTCATCAAGAATCTTAAGGGGAGAGGGGGAAAGAGAGACACACAGTCAGAAATATCTTTAACTCTTGGCCAGGATAAAAATGTCTGTATTTTATATATGCTAAATTAGAAAGATAAATTTTGAGTTAAAATGCAAGGTAAGAAACAACAGATTGTCATATGCACTCTTCAGCCTTCTCTATGTAAAAGCACACAATTCACAGCCAAACTTAGTTTTCCTAATGGTCATAACAAACACAAGCAGTCAAGGTTCCTCCAAGAGAATCTGGAAAAACCGGAAACATGTATCGTTTATCCTATTTAGTCACCAAGGTATAAAACCCAAAACTAAATGGCTTCCAGGCTAGACCAGCAGAGTTCAAAGCTTGGGAAACTTCGCTGTAAACAGTAGCTAAGCAAGACTAGGAGTTTCCTTGAAATGCTGCACCAAGGGCGTGGACAATCAGATAACTAGGAAATCAGATTACCTCACTATACTTGTGCTATACTCTCCTCTTTATGTAATTATTTTTCTATTTCATGTTTAAATGAAATGTCATGAAGAGAGACACATTAACAAGGCTGGCTAAACAAAGAAGTCCTACTTCAAGCATATAGTTCTCTTTTGATTGCACTGTATGGATCCACATTACAATGATTACATTTAATCTACAAGGCTGAAAAAAAAAGAATCACTAATAAACCATGCTTATGTACAACTGAGAACAGAAAGCCTCTGTTTTAACAACCTCCTACATATTTGCAGGCACAATTAACAGGATGCAGACACTAGCACCGAGATATTTATACCAACATTTTCAAGTGAGGCATCTAAATAAGTGATTTTCAGAGATGCTACATACTTTCAGTTCCCACTGACTTCATGAATCTGGGTGAAATGAACATTTGGATGTAATGATCAATAGTTACCTAAACAAATCACTAGCCTAATTCTTTCGCATTTACACATCCCAGTGGCTTTTGCAATGCACTAATTATATTCACGTACCATCTCCAGACATAACTGAGAATGACAGTGTTCATCTTTATTTAGTGATCATGACATGTCACTGGTATAATTTAGAGACTATCCTTTGGCATATGGATTAAGTTATACAAGGAAGTCGTGCGAAGACGAATCAGAATCATAGAACCACAGAGCTGGAAAAGACCTCAGAAGGTTATCAAGTCCAGCCTCCTGCTCTAGGCAGGACCAATCCCAATTAAATCAACCCAGCCAGGGCTTTGTCAAGCAGAGACTTAAACACTGCTAGGGATGGAGGCTCCAGTGCTTCACCACTTTCCTAGTAAAATAGTTTTTCCTAATATCCAACCTGGCTACATACTTGTATCCTGCTTTCATTCCCTGGAATAAAAAGGGAATGCTGATTCACCTCCCCGCCCATACCATCACCACCATATCAAAGCCCTGCCTTACAGAATTGTATTTGATGTGTCTGTGGCCACCAGTGCCAATAACTGGAATCGTACAATAAATAAAGTTTGTATTGCTTCTTGGTTATTTAAAAGGTAAAAGTGTACAAACAGGTAATGGGATTTTATTTTGTTATGTGAGTCTTTTTGTCTGGTGTGTAATATGTCCTTAGATCAGGTGCAATTAATAAATGTTAAGTGAAATAAGGGTTTCATTTCACTTAACATTTATTAATTGCACCTGATCTAAGGACATATTACACACCAGACAAAAAGACTCACATAACAAAATAAAATCCCATTACCTGTTTGTACACTTTTACCTTTTAAATAACCAAGAAGCAATACAAACTTTATTTATTGTACGATTCCAGTTATTGGCACTGGTGGCCACAGACACATCAAATACAATTCTGTAAGGCAGGGCTTTGATATGGTGGTGATGGTATGGGCGGGGAGGTGAATCAGCATTCCCTTTTTATTCCAGGGAATGAAAGCAGGATACAAGTATGTAGATCTGCCATCTATGAATGAATTTACCGATTTCTGTTGTTCAAACATCATTTTCTTGTAAAACAAATGAAATTGTTCGAAGCTAAGTTCTTCCTTGGGAGCTCCAATTTCCTGTGAAGAGGAAACATTAAACAGTGTTATTTGGGATATCTTAGGTTACAGCCATACAGCAACATATGTGACATGTTCTTTCCAGGCGCCATAGTCTTCCAAGGGATATATGGCTGTCATATTTTTAATTGTGTTAACATAAGGGCTAATTGATTTCTGAAGAAAACTGAACAAACAGAATCTTGATTAGTAATACACTGTTCCTACCCCTCATCTCTGGCCACTACCAAGGCTCAGAGAACCAGCAGGAAGTTAGCCTGCAGCTCACTTTCATCTAGCTCAGTGTTTCTCAACCAGTGGTAAGAGTACTCTTAGGGGGACACAAGAGAAGTCTCGGGGGGCACGTCAGTACAACTGAAATTTGGAGAAAATTGAATTTTTGTTTTAAGTTTTACAGCACTTTATTATTTTTGTACTTTTTACACCCAAAAATTTCATCGCCCACCCAGCTATGAAGTTGTTAAAATAAATGTGTTGCAATGGTAGAAAAATATTGTGTGTGTCTGAAAACTGTAGGTACCGGGGGTACTTATACATTTTTTAAAGGGGGTACTTTATTTAAAAAAAAGGTCAAGAAACACTGATCTAGTTAATTAAGAAGACAGGTGGCAGATTCTGAAGAATGATTCATTCAGTGTTCATTACCCAGAGTACCAGCAACTATAATCTGGGACTTTGAGAATAGAGAGGTATAAAGAAGGAAAAATAAGGACCTCTGTAATGAGCCTCAAAAGTTATCAATAGTAATTCATGTTGAATAGAAACTAAAAGTATCACTTCATTCATAATGCAAATTCTAGCTTTAAAACAGGCACAGACCAGTTATTCCTATATATTTTCACAGTGCCAACAATAGGGCCATGAGCCTGACTTTGAATTTGGGCAATACTGCAATATTAATACCAGTAATATACTGTAATAAAGATAATTAAAAAACTCTTCTACCTTACATTCAAACCTAAACTCTGAAATTAAGCAACACAAATCAGATTAAGCAAATCACATAAGAAGCAAAAGCCACAAACAAGATGATATATGTAAGTGTCAATATATATTTTCACCAAATATTGGGTAGCAGGTGCTTTGGATAATTACCGCAAATTTATCCTTCAAGAATTTCACACTGCCAACTTTGAAGTTTACTAAGGGAAGTACAGTCTTCAGTTCTCTAAGGCTGATACTAAAAAACAAAATGGCAAAAATCATGTTCTATTACTATCCATGCAACCTACAACTATGCAGTTGTATATATTTTCATCAACCCAAAAGTTAAATTACTGATACATTTTTAAAACATTCTCTGTCCACTGCTCCAACCCAACTGCAATAGAAGTCTGTGGAAAGCCTACTACTGGCTGCTTTGGAAGCAGATGGAATAATATTGAACTTGCTTTAATATTGTAAAAGTTAAAGATACAAAAACTACAATAACTTCAGGATGCAGGGGGAATGGCAGACTTCAACCCAAATCTCAACGGTGCAGGCTGAATTTTGTGGGCTCCAAAACTGATCAGCTAATTTTTCTGATCACCAAATTGGGGACTGGTTTAAGGCCAATGTCAAATTTTCAATTAGCCTTAAACCAGTCCCCAATTTGGTGATCAGAAAAATTAGCTGATCAGTTTTGGAGCCCACAAAATTCAGCCTGCACCTATTTCTGCAGATACAAACACATAGAAATGAGTCTGCACAATTGTCCTTCTCCATGTGTAAAATAAGTATTCAACAAACATGCAGGAACAAACACTTGTATGCACATTTTTAGGAATGTGAAATCTAGAACAGCATTTGATAACTTCAGATCTCAATTCCAACCACTTTTCATTATGGCATTACAACTGGTTTATATTGGTGACTGCCTCTATATTCCTGACTCAAACTAAATATGCATGTGAAAAAAACCAAAAAGTTGTTCCTTTGAAGACACAGCTTTAGTGTCCACAATTCAGAATTGGATAAAGTGGAGAGAATTCAGAGAAGAGCCTCCAGAGGGAATTCTGTGCCAAAAAAATAACAATTCTACAAAATTCTGTATATTTTATTTGTCAATAAATAAATGTAGAGGCTCCAGGATGGCAGTGGGAGGGGCAAAAGCCATTGGTTGCATGGAGGTGGAAGATCACTGTGCTGCCCCTCTCATATGCATGTGAAAAAAACCAAAAAGTTGTTCCTTTGAAGACACAGCTTTAGTGTCCACAATTCAGAATTGGATAAAGTGGAGAGAATTCAGAGAAGAGCCTCCAGAGGGAATTCTGTGCCAAAAAAATAACAATTCTACAAAATTCTGTATATTTTATGCACGTGAAAAAAACCAAAAAGTTGTTCCTTTGAAGACACAGCTTTAGTGTCCACAATTCAGAATTGGATAAAGTGGAGAGAATTCAGAGAAGAGCCTCCAGAGGGAATTCTGTGCCAAAAAAATAACAATTCTACAAAATTCTGTATATTTTATTTGTCAATAAATAAATGTAGAGGCTCCAGGATGGCAGTGGGAGGGGCAAAAGCCATTGGTTGCATGGAGGTGGAAGATCACTGTGCTGCCCCTCTCCAGCCCCCCAGGACACAGACACCACGCAAGGGCTGGGCCTGCCAGACCCCTGCCCCTCCATTCCAAGAGCACCAAGGTAGCAAGCAAGAGGGACAGAGTCTCAAAGCATGCCCATCACTGGTCTCCAATCCAGGTATGAGGCAGACAGGGTCAGCCCAGCAGGGATTAAAGCATGGAGAAGCTTAGTGAGGGGATCCAGCTGTGGGATGAGTGGGTTCTGTGTGGGGCAACCTGGGTGCAGGCAGCTCGGTGTGGTGGATCTGGACGCAAAGCAGCTCAGTGAGGGATTCTGGATCCAAGGGAGTAATGGGATTCTGCAGAGAGGTGAACATGATCGTGAGGAGGGCAGGCTCAGGAGGACTGCAAGCGTGAGGAGGCTCCACGTGCTGGAGGTGTGGGACTTACAGAATCACAGAACCATAGAGCTGGAAGAGACCTCAGAAGGTCATCAAGTCCAGCCTCCTGCTCTAGGCAGGGCCAATCCCAACTGAATCAGCAAGGCTTTGTCAACTGGCCAGGGCTTTGTCAAGCCGAGACTTAAACACCTCTAGGGATGGAGACTCCACTACTTCCCTAGGTAACCCATTCCAGTGTTTCACCACTCTTCTAGTGAAATTGTTTTTCCTCATATCCAACCTGGACCTCTCCCACCGCAACTTGAGACCATTGCTCAGGTCCTTTCTGCAAAACAACTACTTAGCTGGTTGGCCACCAGCCTGTAACAATGCTTGGGATTCTTCCATCCCAAGTGCAGGACTCTGCACTTGTCCTTG